GTACATGTACAGTGCCAGTCAAAAGTTTGGACGCACAGGTTTGCTTGGACATTTTAACCATCTTCAACAATATAACATAACACATGGCATTATTTATTGAAGCCTGCAGTTATCAAAATGGTAACTGTTTAGGAGAAGGAAAGATATTTTTCTTTTCTAATGGAAGATAAAGACTTCATTCAAAGCAATTTGGGACTATTTCTGTTGGCCCATTCCTCATGAAATGCTTCAAATTATTAAAGAAAACAATGACAACAATGGAGATGTTCTGACATGATGATATGCTGAGACCTTTGTCAGGTGCTGATATTGTTGTTTTGGAAAGAAATTCATACATACACATCACCTTCAGAATTGAGAGAGAGACAGAGAGAGAGAGAAAGCATGTGTGAGAGAGAGAGAGAGAGAGAGAGAGAGCGAGCGAGAGAGAGAGAGAGAGAGCGAGAGAGAGAGAGAGAGAGAGAGGGAGAGTAAAGGAAGGAAACAGGGCATATCAGCTGGTTAATCAGTTTTGCGAGTGAGGGTGTAAAGACTGTGGAACAGTCCGTTGAGCAAAATCGAAATATGGCTGATTCTAGCATTCTCACATCATGCAATGGAGCGTAAGAGTCATTTAGAGCAACAACACATTCTTATATTGACTAAATAGTCAACACTGGTTAATTAGAGCCTCTTTCTATTTGGTTTCTAATTGGCTTTATGTGACAAGGAACAATAAGAAGCTTATAATATAGTTACATTACAGGCAAAAGGTTTGAAATCAACACTAACTTTGCAATAAACATGAAAAGCTTATCTTTTCAATAGGTAATGAACATTAATAGGTTATAGACCTAAAGGGTTTGTGTCTGCAGCAATAGTGTCCAACTAACTGTAAGTGTGACTTTTTCCATACAATGATGTAGAGCACTGCAACACCCTGAGGCTTTATAACATATATGTCAATAAACTTGTAGTATTGGATTGATATTTGGTAAAATGACTTATTTGTCTTATTCAGTTATTTATCTTAAGACTTACTGTTCAGTAGTTATTATGGATTATTCAGTAACTAACAAAACTAATATTGAAGGTATGCAGTTGTGACAGTCACCAGTCTTTACTGAGATGGAAACAAAAAAAATACACACTCACAAACACACACACACACACACACACACACACACACACACACACACACACACACATATAAATATATATATATATATATATATATATATATATATATGTGTGTGTGTGTGTACTATCATAAAACTGCCAGCTTATTTACAAACATTTGTTATATTCAGTTGAAACATAGCCAGGATGATCTATTAAAGCCAGAAATTCATAGATTTTTATTAGATTTGTGTCACAAACTATCTTTTTAAACGAGAAAACACATGAATAGGAATAAACGTCACATATTAGTCACATTTTATTTTTACTCTGACTGAACAAATCAGTTATAAGCACTTAACAAGCTGAACCGCACTATGACTAAGTGAGCTCACAGTGAAATCAAAGATAAAGGAAGCCTTGTGCATCTTTTATATGGTGATAGAAAATGTGGTATTGCCAGCAAGACATTTGGTTTTATCGAGTTCTTCAGCTGTCTGGTTCCTATCACCACTGCTGTGAACAATTCTTACTCTGTAAGTTTCTCCAGAGCAGAGCATTTTGCATCAAACCACTCTGAATGACTTTGTTTACATCTTAACCATTTAATTATACAGAAATTCTGAAAATATGTGGAATTCCCCTTTAATGGCTTAGAAGTGTTTGCTTGTCAGGGTGTGTAAGTGTGTGTTGACTCCAGGCATGTATTGAGCGTGTGTCTCCCTCGTGAACCCCTCCATTTGCTGTCTGTCTGTATTGTGGTTATGATATCATGATGAGAAAAACGCTGCATTCCTCTCTAAGTGCCCCCCGCCCCGCATCAAATATTCATACAGCCCAAACCAGGAGGGGCCGGAGGGGCAGAGGGTTAGAGGGGCAGAGGCTCAGCCAGCTTGGCCTTACTAAGTTTAACTGACTGTCTGACAGTCAGACTCTGCACTGGGGCTTCCCAGGTCATCACACCTGGACATTTAAACAGGAGCGATAAAACCCCTTAAACTACATTTCAGCCTCTCATGACTATAAATGTGATTACTTTCACAGTAGATACTGAATAATAATGCGTAGTATAATTGGCTGAATAATAAGGGCCCCCCCCCGCCTCGCTCTGTCCTCCTCCTCTTTTCTTTATCTCATTCTCTTTATTTTCTTCTCTATCTCTCTTTTTCTCTCTCTCTCTCGGTCTCTCTTATCTCTCCCTCATTTTTCTTTATTTGCCCCTCTCTCTCTCTCTTCCTCTGTCCTTTTCTTTATCTCATGCTTTTTCTTTCTCTTCTCTCTCTTTCACGCTTTTTCTCCTTTCTCTCTCCATCTCTCCCTCTTCCCTCTCTTGTACACTTTTTCTTTTTTTCTTTCTTTTTGCTCTTTTTTCTCTTCTTTCTCTCTCTCCATTCTGTCCTTCTCTGAATTCCCTCCTCTCTTCCTCTCGCTTTTGATCCTTTCTCTCTACCCATCTCCCTCTTTCTTTCTCTTTTTCCCTCTTTCTCTTTCTTTCTCTTTGCTTTTCTTCTCTATCCCTCCCTCTCTCTTTCTCTGTCTCTTTCTATCTCTACCCATCTTTTTCGCCATTCTCTCTTTCTGTTTCCTCCTCTCTTCCTGCCATACTCTCTCTGTCTTTCTCTCTATCTCTCCCTCTCACTTTTTATCCCCTCTCTCTCCATCTCTCCCTCTTCCCTTGCTCTTTCTCTCCCTCTCTTTTATACTTTCTTTCTCTTCTTTCTTATTTTCTCTCTTTCTCTTTGCTCTTTCTTTTTCTCTATCTGTCTGTCCCTCTTTCTTTCTCTTTCTCTATTGACTCTTTTTTAGTCTCTCCCCATTTCTGTCTCTTTTCTCTTTTCTCCCTGTTGTACGCTCTCTCTCTCTCTCTCTCTCTCTCTCTCTCTCTCTCTGAACAATGATCATGGGTGTACGTTGCTGACTTCACCTTGATCCTAAAACGAGTGAGAGTGGCACTGAAATGGACAGAGCGGTAAAAAGAACAGATACATCACCCCGGGGGTAAAGGAGCGAGGCTTGATATATTGCCCATGGGTGAGGGAGAGAGAGAGGATGCGCAAAATCCATATCAGAGCGTCCATTGTGCCCTCAGTATCAGTATAAAATATTCAAATATCTGCCCATTACTCTGCATTAAAAACCACAGAATGTTCACATGTTCCTCACACATTGCACTGATAGTCACATTAAATGCCCCCCATTAGACTCCTGCATGTATGATGGAGTGTGTGTGCATGTGGGGGGTGGTGTGTGTGTGTGTGTGTGTGAGTGCATGTTGTAAGACCTTTGGCTGTAAGGATTTTATTGTAATCTTGGGCTGTGAGGATTTTATTGTGATCGTGTTGAGGCAGTGCAGTTAATATTACCTTCCACTGTCTGTAACGAAAACATCCACCACCCACACACACATACCAGCAATTCTGAATTTATTGATTTCTTTTATGATAAGTCCCTTATCAACATTGCATCCTTTGTGCATGTACAAACAGCCGTTCTGTACAAGTTAGGGTAACACTTTATTCAGAGTGGTCCTCTGTAGATGACTAATAAACACTTAATAGATTATCAGTAACACATCAACAAAATATCAGTGAAGTAGCAGTAGTGAAGCATCTGAATTCATTGAAGTAAATATCTTGTAGATGTTCTGTTGATACATTACTTACATTAATTAGATGTTTTGTTAATATGTTACTTTTATTACACAAAACCTAACCTTACCAACCTTACCCAACACCTAACCCTCACCCTGGCCCTAATCCTAACCCTAACCTTACCCAACCTTACCCAAAACCTAACCCTAACCATCATATGTTGCTGAGAGTTCGTTGACTGTTTGTTTCATCTAAAAAGGACCACTCAAAATAAAGTGTCACCCACAATGTTATTATTATTATTATTATTATTATTATTGAATTAATTATTCGAGGAAAAAAGCCAGAACGTATATTTACTATACTATATTTTTCATTAAAGAGTGTCTACTCTTTTCCTTTATTGCAGCTTTAGCTCTTTTCAGGATACTTGCTTTAAATTTTTAAGTTGCAGGGCTTTTTTCACACCTCCAAAGTTCAGTCTTAGAAGTTGGTTGCTTTTTCCAAATAAGCTCAAGCTCATTGAGTAATGTTGAAGTCTGAATTCTGGACTCCATCCATTGTCTTGAGATTTTAATTAAGAATGGAGCTTGATTTTCTCCCATCTGTAAAAGATGAAAGCTGTAAGTATTGTTTATCAGAGGTGCTCATTTAGCTGTACTGTACTTTTTCACAGGAAGACCCAGTTCATACTAACACTGACATATTATCTTTGTCATTTGTGAAGTTGGGTCCCTGATGAATAATTGGAAACAAACTGGCAAAGTGTTCACTATTGATTCTCCATTCTTTCAATGGATACTTTGCAGAAAAATCATATTTACAGTATTGTCAGCTTACCGCAAATGTAGTCAGTGAGCCAAAATCTGTGTGGTATCAGAGGTTTGCTTCTTCAGTTTTCCACTGGAGCTATGAGGCTAATGCAGCTAACAAGAATGGATGTTTACACCCCAATTATGTACATGAAACCAAATTGAGTTGTCAAGTAATCCTAAACAGACTTACTTTTTTTTTCATTTTTCAGTTTTTGACATAATGTGAAAGTGCCTCCTGCCCTTTACATGGTGTGTAAATTTCATGATGAATGGACCAAAAGAAATGACCCAAAATGACTTGGAAAAATTGACTTATATTAAAAGTAAAGTATGTTTTTTCCTTTTCCTGTAAAGGTACCATTTTGGAGATACAAGGTTTTGTTCCAACAACAGTGATATCTAAAGTATAGAAGAGGTTAGCTGTAACGTTGCTGTTGCGTCGTTGTAACATTGGGCTAGATTGCTGTGGATCTGACCGTTCCTGTCCCTTTTGCAGGTCACAGAGTGAAGATGGAGGAAAATCAGAAGTTTTCTGACCGGCTGAGTGAGATAGAGCGTTACCAGCGTGCCAGTCTGAGGATGGGCCCTGGCAATGCCACGGCCCGTCCTACCCACCAGTCTCATTACAGCTCCTCCGGTGCCACTCAGATACCAGGTAGGTGTACAAATATGTCACTGGCACTTACAGCCACGATGCTTAGTCATTGGTGATTATAGAAAAAGTGCTGTACACCAAAAAGAAATGCAGTGAATTTAACTGATTCATCATTTTCACATAAATATCTCAACACAATTATGGCCAAAGATAAACTGAAAGACAAAATGATGTTGATGTAATGATAATTTGGCATAAAATGCCATTTGAAGCCAGTGCATCTTTTTCTTTCAGCATAATGTTTGTATGATGCATACACTCTAGGAGGAGAACAGAGTAAAGGGACACAGCACTTCCGCACTTTTATTTTATTTGGTAAACATTGAAAATGAGTCCCACAGACCCCAACACCACACAAGGGTTAAGGGGCCATTGCTGAGGGGATTGCATGTGAGATGCTTGGTTTAAGAGGGTTAACCAAATATATATAAGTCAGTAGATTATTTGATTATAGAAATTGTAGCCCTGCAGAGAGAGTCTATTGTTAGGCTTTATGGTGCAGTTGTTCAGTTTATTCTGCTATTTTTGGGGTCAAGTGTGTCCCTGGATGCCCTGTGGGATCTGTGCACAATGTGTGTGTGTGTGTGTGTGTGTGTGTGTGTGTGTGTACAAGTGAGTCAGGTAAACTTGAGATACACACGCATCCCCAGACCACAGTCTTTGGAATCTAGCAACCACTCACTACATCTACACCCACGTCAGTCTTTCTCTCAGTGTGTGTGTGTGTGTGTGTGTGTGTGTGTGTGTGTGTGTGTGTGTGTGAGTGTGTGAGGTGATAGTGGGTGCTGATTGGAGGGATGATGTGTGTACATTCTCAGACATATGTAAAGACCTCTGAACGTGATGGCATGTCTGAAAGTGAACAGGAAAACAAACATACACACACTATCTCTTGCTCTGTTTTCTCTCACTTTTCTCTTTCCATTCCTCTTTCTCTCACTCACTCTCTTTCTCACTCTCTCTATCTCTCTCTCTCTCTCTCACACATACACACACTAGCTCTTTTCACACCCTGCACCTCCACCCACTCACTAGTTCTCATGCTGGGGCGAGTGCGTGTGTGTGTGTGTGTGCGCGTGTGTGTATGTGTGTTTGTGTGTGCGGATAGGTTAAAGCCTCTGTATCTGTCAGTTGGTTTTGTTTACATCGCCATACCTTCAGTGAGGACGTATTTCTCCAGAAACCCATAATTCATAATAAATTAATGAATTTATTACAGTTTCATACAATCTACAGTTTAAAACAGTCTCAGATCTAAAAGTGTCCAGGATGCTTCTAATAGGCTATTACCATTACAAAGTTAGTAGCCTAGTTATGTTAAAATTCTTAGTTCACTGAACGTCTAAAAGTAAGTCTTACATTGTGTTAACTTATGTGAAGTTCAAAAAGCTCAAAAAATAGTTAAAACAGTCATAATAAAAAAAAGTATTATTATTGCCTCTATGGAAACTACTTTCCAAAATTGATTCTATAGAAGATTTGTTTCTATATTTATTTCTATATAACTAGGTTTCAATTAATGGTTATATATAAATCATTTTTGTATTATCGTTTCCGTAGAAAATATGTTATATAATAATCTTTATAAAAGCTATGCTTCTATGTTTATTTCCATAGAGGCTATGTTCCTACATGTTTTCTATAGATGAACTATGTTTCTATAGAACCTACTTTTTTAAAACTGCCTCTATAAAAACTACATATCTTAGATTGTTTGTATAGAATAATAGTCTATATATAGATTTCCAAATTTCCTTAATCTTATTCACTCCTCAGTTAATATCAGTTATAGCTGCTTAGAGACTCTATGATTCTTAAAAAATGATTCTTAGATATGCAGTTTCTATAGAGGCAGTTTTCAAAAGTAGGTTCTATAGAAACATAGTTCTTCTATAGAACCTACTTTCTAAACTGCCCCTATAGAAACTGCTTATCTAAGATTGTTTGTATAGAATCATAGATTTTCAAATTTGCCTACTCTTCAGGTATATCAGTTATAGCTGCTTAAAGTCCAAACAGAAGACAGAAATAATTGTTTGTACAGAGTCTATAATTAGTTCTTTATAAATTACTTTCTTTTCTTATTACATGTAAATCTATATGAGCAGTCACAAACACCAATTGCATTTGGGTCAGGAGTCGTGAGCAGACGCGCTCAGGATGTCTCATTCTGCGCTTCGAGATTAGTAATTGTAACAAAGTTCTTTGGTTCTCTGCTTCTCGAACATGTTTTGTTCTGGAGATTTTTGTATGAATAGGCAAGTGATTCACTTGAAGGAAGGACTTTAACAATACAATGCGCAGGCATGTAGAGATCCATGGATGGTGATCGGCTCAGTCTATACCTACTTATAAATAATCCTTTCTTTTAATAAAATTTCATTCAGTGGCCTTTTACCAAAATGGTGTGTGATTAAATGTAGCTCTTAAGGTTTATGTGGTTATGTGGGTGCGAATATATTTAAATGGGTATGAGTGATGTAACAGAAAGTAATGTATATGTAGTATCCATGGCAGTGGGAAGATAAGAGGGAGCCTCCTTTTATAGAGCGGTTATAGGCCAAATGCAGCATTAGTAAGCACACACACACACACACACACACACACACACACACACACACACACACAAACACAGCATGAAACAGAAATTGTACAAACGAACCAGACACAACATATTAACAAGACGCTAATTTGCATTAACTTCTTCTGGCCTTTTTGTGCATATATATATATATATATATATATATATATATATATATATATAAACATTATTACAAATAGATACTTGCATATGTAAAACATAGATGGGAGATATTATTACTACGTATAAAAGATATGTGAGGCATTATTATGACAAATACATATTGTACATATGAGACATATTATGATTATTATACATATGTGCTTACGCATGTATAACACATATAATCTATGATTACGCCTATATACTTACATACAATACGGTGTAAAAGTCTAAGGGGACTAAATAAAATGTTTAAAACTATTTATATGTACTACAAAAAAGTACATACCATTAGAATAAATACAAATAAACATCAATACAGTACAAAGTAGTAGAGCAACTTAAAAGAACAAAAGTTTGGTTCCAAATTTTTTTGTCGCCCCTAATCAATTTATTTAATGTAGTAATGATTATCCAAACTGGGTACTAGATAATAATTACAATTAATTATAGACCACCACAAGAAGAGCTTTGTAAATGGTTAACATACATACTTATATGTACTATTTGTATTTATTCTAATATTAGTGTTTTCCTGAGCAAATAAACACTTCCAGCCCTGAATAAGAGCTTTTAAAAGTTTTTCAAACATTTTTAAAACAGTTTAAAACTGCATTGCACTGTTTAGATGATACACACAGGACATTTGAAGTACTTACATGTAAGACATACATACAGGATACATATGACCGACCTGACATCCTGATATTATATAAAAACAAATGTGTTTGTATTTGTGAGCAAGTAGGCGGTATGTGTGGGGTGGTGGTGGTGGTGGTGGAGGGAGGTAAACCACAACTTCTGGCACGGTTGTTGCAATTGCATACCTCAGGGCGCTCAGTAAAATAATTAATCTGAAGACTCTTTTCTCTACACCAGCAGACAAAGCTACCATACGACCAACTCGAACCAAAAGTGATGCACTGTACTTACAGAGGTGAAACAAACAGCTTAATTACACTCGATCTGAGACACGCTCAGGCACACACACCTCCAAACACATTCACACACATACACACGCCTACGTCTTGCACGACGCGATGCGTTTAATCTCAGTGTTTGCTTCCTCATGACACGATGATTTATCAGCCAGATGTAATTAGATGGCCTCTCGTCTCGTCTGGCTGTTGCAATCCGTTTTCCATGTGTGTCTGTTTGAGAACTGCGATTTGTGTCAACAGCAGATCATCCGTCGTGTAGTTAATGCCAGTTGCTTCATCTCGTTGGCTAAGACGTTGGCTTTGTTGACGTCTGGAGGGCCGATTTCAGTGTCATAATCCATAAGGTGTAAATATAGCCTGTGCTTACGAAGTCTAGTCAAAGCATGAGACACTGTCTCTCCCACACAGACATGCATGTCAACATACATAGTACTAAAGCTGCACATTGTCTTGTTTGTTCGTCATTATTGCGACATTGCAATACTGAAGGTGCAGAGGGCTACAGTACGCAAATGAAACTGTGTTTTGTGTGTTAGCAGCGTTCTAAGCAGCTTCAGATGCTCCTGTTGAGTTTCTGTGGTTTTTCAAGAAGGAACTGATGTTTTGATCAAAATAATGCAGACCAATCTTTAATGTCATCAGAGGTTCATCAGTGTGGTTTAAAATACTCCACAGCATTAGTTTCAGATGGGATTACTCATTTTGAGCTCTTTTCGAACCCTTTTTTTGTAGCATTTTTCACAATATTTATTGAATAAAAGCTAAAGCAGAGGTCCAAGACTGGAGGTCCAGATTTGAAGACCACTGACGTAGGATTAGTTTCCTGGAAATGGATTAACCCTTGTCTAGGAATGTATTTCAACATACCCTTTAAATCTTTTTTAGTCTGGAAAAGCAGCCCAAAATATTGCATTTGTTCCCTTTCTTCAATTCTCCATTATAAAAGGGCTTCTGCATTTAAGGATCGAAATTATTAATCAGAACATATAAAATTATGTATTGAATTATGTATTCTGTTTTCCATTCTTCAAAGTAGCTCCCCTTTGACTTTATGCAGCCTTACACACTCAGCTGAGATGCTTCTCCAACAGGATGGAAGAAGAAATTCCACACATGCTGAGACCTTGACGGCTGCTCAACAAATAACTGTAAAGATTTGTAAAAAAATAAGCATTTAGTTGCAAATATATTTGTGATTATGAAATACATTGCATCAGGTGTGTCCAAACTTTTGACTGGAACAGTTCGATACCACCCACACACACACACACACACACACACACACACAAACACAAACACATATACACACACAGAGT